ATGGCTAGGGTTTCATCAAAACCCTAAAACGGGACAACTAGCCACTCATGGAGGAGTGAAAAAAGGTGGAAGAGGAAGAAGCCCCCATGAAAGTTTCCCTTGAAGCTTGAGAAATCCCTCTCTTCAAAGCCTAGCTTCCATTTTCCTTAGAATATTTTCGAACCTGGTTACAACCTCTTTTTCTTCTTTTTATTCCCAGTAGAGGAGTCTTAAATTTTCACGCACACAACCCTAGGTGGGTTACTTGAGCGCTCATATGGGCTGCTTGAGCGGTGGTGGGCCGCACGTGCGATAAAGCTTGGCCGCACGTGCGGTGAGGTGGTAGGCTGTGACTTCTCATTACTCGCACGGAAAATCTGCTTTTGCGCTACTTTTTGCTGCTACTTTTTGCCTGCCAAATCTGTGCAAGTGCACCAAGCATGTCATCTCCACAAAATAAACAAAATTCAAAGACTTAATGTAACTTAAGCGGCCTCAATGTGGTACCTTTTGGCCTTCATCAGATATTTCGTTTGCATTCATCATCACCAATAATTTTTCTCCACCATGCAAATCTGTAATTAAATAAATAAATCAACCAATAGTTTTTTTTTTTTTTAAAAAAAAATCTGTTTTGTAAATTGAAAAATAAATAATTTTAGAATGAGAGTTTGGAGCTCTTAGGAGGCTTCTTACTAAAACTCCCTTTTGCTTATATAATATATAGACTATGGATAGATTATGGATCATCCATGATGAATGAGTATTAACTTTGAAGTCTTTGTTCCCTTACAAAATTGCGCCCCGAAGAGTCTTAAGGCTGTTCTTTTGAAGGAGGTTTGGTATTTTTGTCTCACTATTTTTTGTATGAGTCATGCTAATTTATATATGTCACATTCCTCTGGTTGCTCGCTGAAGTACATATTTCAAGTGGTTGAGAATTCCAATTATTGTGCATCATCATAGTATTTTGTGTCACACTCCTCCGGTTGTTCGCTGAAGTACGTATTTCAAGCGGTTGATAATTCCAATTATTATGCTTCATCATAGTATTTTGTTTCTATGTGAGCTCATTTTTTTTACCAGCTATAGAAACAACCTCATTTCTTCCCAATTATGAATGACAGAAGTAATTTGAAACCAAGTAAAATTCTGAAACACAAATACTGAGTTCCACTCAACGCCTTCTCGTCCATCTCTAGCCTTGTCAATGATTTGGATACTCAGCATGCCTTGCCATGAAGAGATGTGTTCAGAATCGGCCCTAGGCTAATGCCATTGAGGGCTATGCCTTAAGCCCCAAAAAATTGGTTCAAAATAGAGCCCGCAAATTTAGAAAAGTATTATAATATATTACAAATATAAATAGGCCCAAATTATTTTTGTTGTTTTAGAGCCAATCTAAAGGACCCAAAAATATTCTGTTGGGCCTATATTTGTTTATAAGTGTGGTTTGGCTCAATTGAAATTAAAATATATACAAAATGTGGTGGTCCATGAATGAGAAACACTACATACACATACAAAATGTTGGTGACCCAAAATAGGCCCCCTACTCTTTTTTTTTTTACCTTCTTTGTTTATCAAATTTTAGTGGAATAAACAATTAACTCAATCTCAATCACACTCATACACAACATATTCAATAAACAACAATTAATTCAATACATATCCAATACATTTTAATTGAATAAATTTTTCCTAATTTTGATAACTTCTTCTTCTTCTTCTTCTTCTTCTTCTTCTTCTCTTTTTTTTTTTTTTTTTGCCTCTATAGAATTTCATTTTCTTTTCATCTCTATTTTCATCCCTTGCCTCTATAGAATTTCATTTTCTTTTCATCTCTATTTTCATCCCTTGCCTCTATAGAATTTCATTTTCTTTTCATCTCTATTTTCATCCCTTGCCTCTATAGAATTTCATTTTCTTTTCATCTCTATTTTCATCCCTTGCCTCTATAGAATTTCATTTTCTTTTCATCTCTATTTTCATCCCTTGCCTCTATAGAATTTCATTTTCTTTTCATCTCTATTTTCATCCCTTGCCTCTATAGAATTTCATTTTCTTTTCATCTCTATTTTCATCCCTTGCCTCTATAGAATTTCATTTTCTTTTCATCTCTATTTTCATCCCTTGCCTCTATAGAATTTCATTTTCTTTTCATCTCTATTTTCATCCCTTGCCTCTATAGAATTTCATTTTCTTTTCATCTCTATTTTCATCCCTTGCCTCTATAGAATTTCATTTTCTTTTCATCTCTATTTTCATCCCTTGCCTCTATAGAATTTCATTTTCTTTTCATCTCTATTTTCATCCCTTGCCTCTATAGAATTTCATTTTCTTTTCATCTCTATTTTCATCCCTTGCCTCTATAGAATTTCATTTTCTTTTCATCTCTATTTTCATCCCTTGCCTCTATAGAATTTCATTTTCTTTTCATCTCTATTTTCATCCCTTGCCTCTATAGAATTTCATTTTCTTTTCATCTCTATTTTCATCCCTTGCCTCTATAGAATTTCATTTTCTTTTCATCTCTATTTTCATCCCTTGCCTCTATAGAATTTCATTTTCTTTTCATCTCTATTTTCATCCCTTGCCTCTATAGAATTTCATTTTCTTTTCATCTCTATTTTCATCCCTTGCCTCTATAGAATTTCATGTACAAGTTAGAACTACATAGTTAAGAATTCTTGGTCAAACAATGACCTCAATTTAAGTATTTTGCATCATTTCAAATTTTTATAATCCTTCCGTTCCAAAATAATAAGCCCTTTTGAAAAATCTAACTTTTTTTTTTTGATAATATAATTATTACATTTTAAAAATATTAATTTTTCAAAATTATCCT